AGTCCCTAGGCATTGGCGTCACATTCTGTGCTTGGTGCCAGACGCCAATTCCAGCGCATGGCGCTAATGCCATAAGTCTGGCGCTGATTGATTTTCAGCGACGCCAAAGCAGCCAGCCACCTTCTGTGGTTGTGCTAGCCTTCTGCAATATATTTTGGGTTCCTTGGTACGCCAGTTAGCCCCTCTAAGCAATTTGACATGATTAGGTAATCGGCTTGATTACGTAAAGTGATCGACCTGATAAAAAGATCGTCTCACTTAGCTTAAAGCGCCTAAGCATTGGCTCATTAGCAAAAAGCACCGACATACAGGTTCAAGAGCATAGGGCACCGATATACAGGTTCAAGAGCAAAGAGCGCCGACGTACAGGCATAGCACAAGCAAAGTTCAGGCGAACTTTTTAAGGATCGACAGGCGTGGATCTTTGGTATTTTCCTTTGGGAAATTATCGCATCAAATGAGGATGACTTCAAGAGAAGATGTCTTCGGCATCATTCCCTAGCTTGCGGAAAGTTGTCACAAACAACTGAAGGTAATTTCGGGCGAAATTGTCTTCGATCATAGTTCCTGAGGCATGGAAGATGATCATAATGCGGATGAGAATTATTTCAAGAGAAATAATTTTCGATGATGTTCCCTTGGACGTGGAATATTATCACAGCGGAGAAGGTAGTTTCAGGCGAAGCAATCTTCTAATTGGAAGCAGTTACAAGGCGTAGCGGTTTTCAAGCGGGATGGCATTCTCTAGCTTGCAGGAGGTCATCAAAACAAATCAGTTACTTTCAGAAACGTGTGCTCGACGGTGCAAGATACGCGTTTCTTAACTCTTTTATTTGTTTAACTAATGCTAGTTTTGCAGGTATCGGTGTTATAAGATTGATTTAGGATCGCAGAACGTTCTGAATCATTCTCCGTCCCTATCGATACTTTGGCTTTCGTTTTCGAAACTTGCGTTTCTCCAAACTCAGTCAAAGTGGGGGCTTCTGTAGACACCCATTTGTGTCTCCCCAAAACCAAACCCCGTGATGAGTACCTTTCACGTCGAATCATAATCGAATGAAACGAAAGTGTGGAAAGGCCTAGTGTTGCGGAAAGTTTTATTTCTTTTCTTTTCTCTTCTCTCTGTTTTTGAAAACTTTATTTTAAGAAAACAGTCAATCCAGTTTGGTTGGTCCATGATATGGGTCCAATAGTGGTGTAGTTGGATGGGGTTTGAAAAGACCTTTCCAACGATATATTATAAGCCCAATTCCGATGAATATTGAGGAATTTATGGCCAATTTACTAAACTGGGCCCGGTTTGAGCTTTAAGTACGGCCCAATGATCTAGGGGAGGGCCTAATATGATTTATCATTCCTAATGTAATTAGGAATGGTTTTGGTCTTCTAGAACATTCTAGAAGGTCTTATCATTCTTAATTCAATTAGGACTCTTCTTAATCAAGATCAAATAGCATTTTCGACTGAAATTATATTATTTTATCTTCCAGTACAGTAAAATTATCAGATTTTCGAAAACGCGTTAAAAGCCGGTTTGGCGTCCAACCCCAGGCCTTGGCGCCTAGAATCAGGATTGGCGCCAGACGCCAGCCATTGGCGCCTGGCGCTAGCCACTGGTCCTGGCGCCAAGTTAGTTTTTCGATCTTCAGACTCTGTTTTGATAAATTATCTTTTTTGGATGATTTTCTCTATAAATCAAACCAATATTCAAAATCCCAAAACATAATTAAAATAGTAAAACATAAATAAGTTCAACACAAAGAACGAATACTCTCGATCACACCAATCCCTTGACAATGCGTATGTCAAATCCCCGAACTTCACATCATCAAGCTAACCTGTGCAATACTGCTCCCCAATAATACAAGTGTAATAATTGGATCATCACAGGGTCATTGAAAGGCGAAGGCCATGACCAAAAGAAAACACACACAAAAGCACGCAATCAGCAAAGCTGAGTACATACAAGCTACAACGTACCAAACCTAGCATGATCAATTAATTAAAGTAAATAAACATACAACTCGAATTCATTAATCAAGACTCCACACTTTAAACAATTTAATTGACTCAACATACTTGCTAACAAATTCCAAGCACTTGACTCTTTGTATTTAGTTTGATTAATTTAATTTGGAGTAAGCTATGATGAGGTTGTCTAATCCACCAAATCATTTTGGTCCCAAATGACCATTTAAAATAAAAGTTTAGCGCGAAGCAAGAATGGGCGCGACTCCATTCTCACAAAGTTAGTCTAGGATCCCATCTAACTTTCATTATAAAATAAAAATGTAAATACCAAAGAAAAGAGGACATGTTGATCAAACAAGCCTCGAAAATCCACGGGCCACCACCGTATACCCCATCCCATAATTGTCAATACTCTAGAAGTGCACGCTTTCCAGAGTTTTATTGCTCATCCATGTTTCACTTTACGTGATTACAATTTTATTTAATAGCCGACTCATTCAAGAAGACCATACATAACAATCATACATCAATTCACTTTTAATCTTATTTTGGACAATGGTGTTCACATCACAAGTTGACCTTTAATTCCATTAAACTTCCAATTTATCCAAATTGTTGAACATAGTCAATTCACCTAGCCATTCGGCTTAATCCACCTTTACTCAACATACTAACAGGTCATGATTGAGTAAACAACCTTGTGGAATAATTAATAAATTATTCCACTTAAACCATTTAATTTTAATCTTTTAATAATCCAAATGTGGTTAACAAACCAATCCAATAAAATTATGTTTGTATCAACATTCCATACAAACAATTAATCCAATATAATTCAACATGTTTGCATCCATAATTCCATACAAACATGATCAATTCACCAAAACATGTCTCATAAACAAAAGCACATGATGAATTGATTCAATGTATAACCAAACAATTTCCATACAAGTGTTCCCTAAACATGAAACTGAGTTCATTCCTTTTGGTACCTAAACATGATACTACTTACAACGAACTAGACATGTACGTACCTCGTATAAACAATCCTTTGTGCCACTTTTAATCACTTTAAAGTCTCCTAGAGAATAATCACTTCCTAGAAAACAACCAACAACAATAAATTAATACTTAACCAAATTTCTAGCAATATAATTTAGATTAAAAGTTCTTAAAACTTCCTTAAAAACATGTTTTTATGCTTAATTAATTGATCATAAGAACCCTAAAATCCCAATTTCAATAAATTAAAACCCTTGGTTTATAATTCATAAAATCAGAAAATTTATAACATAATTAAAATCTGAAATTATTAGTTTAAAACATCAAAACACATGATTTTGATATTTATAAACTTTATACTATAAAATCAAAACATAAACCAAAATTAATAATTTAAGCAAAATAAGAAAATCAAAGGGAAGAGAGAAGGGAGCAGCCACGAGTGATGCTGCCGGTGGCTGGTCGGTCACCGGCTGACTGGTGGCCGGCGTCAGGTGGGCGGCGGCGGCAGCGGCAAGCAGCGCCGGTAGTGAACATTAGCAGTGGTAGCAGTGTGAAGGAGAAATAAGGGGAAAGAAAGAAAGGGAAAAAAATAAAAGAAATTAAAAGGAAAAGGAAAAGAAAAATAAAAATAAAAATAAATGAAATAAAATAAAGGAGAAAGAAAATTAGACTAACCTTTTGTGTGGTGAAAATTTTGGGGATGTATGGGGTATTTATAAGAGAAAGAGTGGTGTAGGGCAAGTTGTAAGATTGAGCCTCATAAAATTAATGGGCCAATTAAGTATGTAAAGTGAGATTGACTTTGATTGTTTGGACATGAATTATAGAATGATGGTTCATAAAAAAATCAAAAATGTAATAAAAATAATTTTCCACCCAAAATAATTTGAAACTTTTTAAAATAAAATTCGGAAAAATACTAATAAATATTATAAATAAAGTAAAATTTCATTTATAATATATTTAAAAATATGGGGGATTACATAGTTATTCCAATCACTTGACCTCAGTGAATAATTAGCTTTCTAATAATTCCCACTACTAGAAAAAGGGTTATTTCAGACGAAAAAATTCTATCGGAACCACCCCAAAATCCGTCGAAAAACCCGTTTCCGACGGAATTCCGTCGTAACCGGTTGTCAGAAAAGCTTTTGTAGGAAATTTATCTTAGAATTTTCCGTCGAAGGAGGTTTTCCAGCACCAGGAAAATCCGTCAGAAATTTCCGGCGAAAGACGGGTATTCCAATTCGGTCGGAAATTGTTTTTAAGAAATTAAAAAAAAAAACGCCGCACCACCACGGCACGGCGTATCAACCACCACCAACCACCAAATAAACCCATACCCCATTATCAGACCACCGCCACTACCACCCACATCAAACAACCGCCACTGCACCAGCCCCTAACTAACTCCCCACCACCAGCCCACACCACTCGTATCACCAACCCCCTAACCTGTTCCTCCACCCTCAACCACCATAACCCTAACCCACACAAACGAGCCCAGATCTACCACCCCACATAAGCATACCACCCCACCACCCACCTAAATCCACCATCGCCACCGTCGAACAAAATCACAGCCAAAAATTAAAAAAAAAAAAGAAACAAAATTAAAATACCAACCAAACACCCAAAACCCGAACTCCAAAACCATCACAACCACATATATTCAATCTAGTAATATAACACCCCCAAATTACTCTCTAATATTTACAATAATAATCCAACTTTAGGGAGTAACATGGGAGTATTACCGCCACGTGATTACGTAAGGCTTAACATAGTTTTGCAGCGGAAAATAGTACTTATCTTTCATTAATAATAATAGTAATAATAATAGTTTGATACACTTTTAAAGTAGCTACACCACTAATACTATGCATACTAAATTTTTATTTTAAATTTTTTGTGAATATATAGTAAATATAAAAATAACTCAAAGGTATATGATGAAAAATCCATAAATTTTTTATAGAATAAGTGATTGTGAGAGTGAACTTATGAATTATGATCCCTATAACTTAAAATACTGTGGGATGGAGCAAATAGTAAAGGACAAAGAGGTAGAGTAGTAGAAGGGTAGAACTAGAACAAATGACAAGTACAATAGAGAGAGCGCATGAAAAGCACGTGTCTAAGCTAACGACACCTTAGCAAGTTAGCTAGCAACTCAAACACATATACACCAAAATCCCTCATCCAACTTTGAAAACTTACACAAACTACACCAAACAGAACCACACTCTAAAAAAATGGAGCATACAACACCACCACCACCAGGGGAGGAGATGGTAGGGAGCGGTGCGGAGTCAGGGAGGCAGGCGCAGGAGCACGAACACGAGCCGTTGATGCTACCGCGCAAGATGATCAATGTCATGGTCGCGTTGGACGATAGTGATGGTAGCTTCTATGCTCTTAATTGGGCACTTGCTAATCTTCTTAAACCCAAAACTATACAACCCAACTCAACTACTACTACCACTACTACTACGCCGATTGAAGAAGAAGGTTGTATGGTTTATTTGGTTCATGTTCAACACCCTTTTAACAACTATGTCTACCCCGCCGGTGCCGGTTTACACACTGGTATATTGTCTATCTTCTCTTTATTTTATCTACTATTGGATCATTCTTTGCTTCTTAGTTTTACATGAAATTTAACTAATGCTACTTCGTTATCCAAAAATCTATTGTAAAAAGTAGTTCATGATATGGTGATTATGAGTACATCATATCAACGCCAATTTAGCATAGCAATATATATATCGTCATTTGATTTAAATTTGTTCTTATACTCCCTCCGTGTTTTAATAAGTGTTACAGTTTGACTTTTTCTACTATTCACATAATGGTTTTAACTTGATTAATTCACTAATATATAAAAACAAATGAAATTGTATAATACATTGTTGGATTCGTTATAATGTATATTTTCATAATATGAATTTTTCAATAATTTTATTAGCATAAAATTAATGGTCAAATTAGTGTCTCTAACATGCGTATTTGGTTAAACTGTAACACTATTAAAACACGGAGGAGTATCACTTAATTGATAAGTATATTGGTGTCTCTAATTAAAATTTGAGAGTTATTGCATGTGTTGATCGAAAAGATCGAGCTATTGACTCAGACTACGCTTGGGGACACAAAGAAAAGTCAACATACATAGAAGTCAAGAATCAGAGTGATAAAAGTATGTAAGCCCAACAACAATAATTAAAGATCATACATCAGTTGCATTTAGATTATTAGGCTGATGGTATGTAAGTTGATGCTTAAATTTATAGAGATCGAAGAGATAATTCAAGGTTAAGCATTTCCTAAGTTTAATTAGGAATATATGATACTCTTTCTGTCAAGTACCCTTGAGGGCCTTGACTTTAATTTGTATGAGCTAAGAGATATGAATTTGACTTTTAATATCTTTGGCCTCGCATAAGAATAGGTCTTCACAATATTTTTAACTAAAAACTAGTTATTGGCCCGGATACCCCGGGTCGTTATAAATTTATTACTTTAATCAAATTATACTTTGACCTTATTTGTGACTAAGAGCTTAAGTAGGTTAAAGATGAGAGTTTAAGTTGATTTGACTATAAAAATAATCAGAGTGACAAAAGCTAACAAATGTTCAGGGCCGGGGTGTTAGATAAATTAGCTAAAAGTAGAAAGATTAAATTAAAATGAACATTAATTACACCGCGACACGTGATTTTGTCATGATTTCTCAAATGAATACCACTTTAGGTAATATTTTAATTGTTTATCCAACACTAGCGCCTATGTATATAGTGAAATTACAATCGATGCTAAGGCCCTGTTTGATTTGATGTAAAAGGTTTTCATGGAAAATGAATTTTCCATTTTTTTTCCCATTTTCCTTTGTTTGGTTTGTTAAAGAGTGGAAAATAATTTTTCAAGGGTGGAAAATTTCATCCTTAATGATGGAAAACATTTTCCTTCCAAAAACAAGGGAAGCCACATTTTCCTCTCTCTTCCTTACCTCTTTTTTTACTTCCCTCTCATTCATCCTTATATTTCCACTCTTATTTTTTATTTTTCTTGTATGCAACCAAACAAAAAGGAAAACTAATTTGCAATTGTGTTTTTCCTTGAAAATATGTTTTCCATGAAAACTAATTTTCCATTGAAAATATTTTACGTTAAACCAAACGGGGCCTAAAGGTTAAAATAATCGCTACGAAAAGGTTATTTTCGTGTAATGCATTATTACAATATTAATACATATGCTAATAACTTTGGTGTATATATTGGATTCATGTGAATTAGCTGCTTTTGCTGCATCATCTGTGGTAGAATCTGTAAAGAAAGCACAAGCAGAGGTTTCAGCTAACATCCTTCAACGTGCAATCTCAATCTGCAAGCAAAATATGGTAAAATTCCGAGCACTTTACTATATTACCGTCCACAATAATGTAATAATCCTCTTTGTTGTGTACGTAGGTTCGAGCTGAAACTTTGATTTTTCAAGGAGATCCCAAAGATGAGATTTGCAAAGCAGCTGAACAATCACATGTTGATATGCTAGTCATTGGCAGTCGTGGTCTAGGCGGATTAAAGAGGTAGTTAATTAATGAATTTACTCATTGGTGTATCATGATTGAGTTCCTATAACTAATTTTACATTGCATTATGCACAATAATTTTTGTTCGTCTTAGTAATGCATACATAATCCTAACTTTGAACAATGATTGATTTGCACTATAAAGGCCAAGTATACATGTTTCTATGCAAAAATGAAATAAATTAGGGTATGTTCACATTTACTGAACTGATTAAAGCTGAACTGAATTGAATTGATTGAAACTTAAATGAACTGAATATTATATGAGAGAAGGAAATTAAGAGTTGAACTGAACTGAAATTAAGTTGAAGTGAACAGGCCCTTAAAGTAGAACAATGGGTCGAACAAAAGAAACTGATAGAGTACATATTACATATAATTAAAATTGTTATACGAAGAAGGACAATGATAAAAAAAAAATAATAATAATAATAAATTTAAATGATTAAAATGGGATGAATAAATAGCCGACTTTTTAGCTTTCAAAACTAATACAATGGCAATAAGTTTTCTTGTAACTGTTTTTGTTTTGATGATACACAGAGCATTTCTTGGAAGTGTTAGTGACTATTGTGCACACCACGCTTGTTGCCCAGTCTTGATTGTGAAGCCACCGAAGCATATCAAGTAAAGATGAGACCAAGCAAGAAGAAAATGTTTTGTACCGAGTGTATATACTCTGATATGGCAAAACTATAAGCTAGTAGTTGTGTAACGTTAGTTTGTATCTCCTAAATGTCAAGTCTCCATGGTATAACAAAATCGGGTAATATGTATGTACATACGATGAACTAAACAGCGCTTGTAATATTTTACCGAAAACTGGAAGTATATATATATGGAGGCAACGGAACAAGGCGTGCATTATGGTGCTATGTTATGTAGTTTATTGTAAACCACAAATTAATTTCTTTCATCACGTTTGTTGTAAGCTATGAATTGAAGTAGTTTTTTCATGTGTGTATATGATTTATTTGTTTCCTAAATTAGTGGTATTAACTTTAGGAGATAATTTAGAAGTTGCATTATACCGTCATTATCTATATACAGAAATCAATAATTGCCAAAGTTGGCACCCCAATTTGTGAATTACTAAGCTATGACTATGACTGAGTGATGTCTCATTAGGATCATCCGAAGTACAGTTGTATATACTTATATAGGCTTGGTCTGATTCGGTGCATTCATTTTAACACAATTTTATTTGATTATTTGAGCTTATCCTTTCTGATATTTATGGTGTGAATATGTGATTCATGATTGCATCATTTGCAATTTGCATGGTATGGGATAAATCACGAGTTTCTTCCTTTGTGACATGTGTTGGTTCACTTTACTTATTATGTCAGGTGTAATCTCGTGTAGGTTTTTTCCAATTTCCATGAGCTGTCCATTGATTTAATTTCCTAAAATATACTTTAATTATTTAATTTATTATTTCTTCTTAATTAATTAAGGGCATGTTATGATTGACTAAACTGAGCTGAACAAAATATTTTATGAGAGAAGAAAATTAAGAACTAAACCGAACTGAAAATAATTTGAAGAGAACAGGCCTAAGATTAAATTCCTACCGTAAACTTTATGTGGTAGGTACCATGTGATTAAATAGCCAAGCATTGGCTTAGGCTCTGTTTGGTTTATTCAATTTTGTCTGAGCGACTTTTATTAATTTATATAGCATGAACATATATATATATATATATATATATATATATATATATATATATATATATATATATATATATATATATATATATATATATATATATATTGTTACCTTCACACACACACACAAATTAAACCTTTTACACCATTTTGTCTAAATTTTTATTTCTATTATTAATTGGGGTTTGTTCTCTTTAGTTTAATTTCAATTTCAATTCAGTTTAGATCTTAATTTCCTTCTCTCATAAACAATTCAGTTCAACTCAATTTAGTTCAATTTAGTAAATGAGAACATACCCTTAGTTGACACTTTTTTTTTACTTTTAATTCATATTTAAGATAATACTCCCACAATTATGTGAAATATTGTTCTACATGACATTTCTAGTTGTGTATTTTCAAAATATTAATTTTTTTTTATGCTTCCTCCATTCTTTTTATATTGTACCATTGGGGGAGTCCATAATACGGAGTATTATTTTTTTGTACGTTGTAAAAAAGGACTAGAGCGAAAAATAAAAATACAAAATTTGCTCATGTGATCATAAGCAATTAAGCATATATTACAGAAATAAGGGTAAAAAGTAAGGATATATTGAATATTTTCTAAAATGGGTATGTGATGCAATTATATTTATAAAACTTTGGTAATAGGGAAACTAAATGATGCACTATTAAATATAGAGTGAGGAAGCATAAATAAAAAAAAAAAGGAAAATGTTAAGCATAGCCCTTAGGGCTATATATAAGTAGCTTAAAAGGGAAAGATTGAGGAAAATTTAACATTAATTACACCGTTCTGCGCGTGATTTTGTCATGAATTCTCAACTTAATTTTATTTTGGGAAATATATTTACTGCTTATATATATATATATATATATATATATACAAATTGGTACGGTATCAAGGGTCTGTTTACTTCAACTCAATTTCAATTCAGTTTAGTTTAGTTCAGTTCAGTTCATTTCAGTTCCTAATTTTCTTCTCTCATAAAATATTCATTTTAGCTCAGTTCAGTTCAATTTAGCTCCAATCAGTTCAGCTCAATAATATATAGATTGACAAATTGTCAATTTAAAATTTTGATCAATAATACTTTTAGTAATTATGAATTATAAAAAGTAGACATTTGAAAAATATACAAGACGATTCTAACAAACACTCATATGATAATGTTTCATTCTAATATACTTCGTACTATGTATAAAGCATAGGCAATTATCAAAATGTACTCCACTCTCTATATTAAGTTTGTCGGATACATTTGTCAACGTAAAACTTTAACTAATAATAGTTTAAAATTAATTTTATTTGAAAATCATATATTGAAATGATTCTAATATATAGCTAAGTAATCTACATTGCTATGTAAAATCTTATATATTAAGGGTCTGTTCTGATTGACTAAAGTGAGCTGAATTAAATTAAATAATTATGAGAAGAAAATTAAAAAAAATTGAACCGAAGTAAATTTAAAATAATCTAAAGAGAATAGACCCTAAGTAAAAAATATTGGTCAAAATTGTATGTTCCAATAATCCTAAAGTCAAGGTGAGGAACTTAAATAAAGAGGGAATGAGTACGAAACAAAAACAGTAAAGATACTCCGTATGAATGTACGTTAACACATAGCAGATTAGCAGGAGTCTGAAATGTGGTACACGTGTTAGGTGTAGGGCCATTTGCATGAGCTGCCCATTGTATTTCCCTGAATACTATGTTCTCTTAACTCATCTTCCCTTATATACAGCCCTAAATCAATCCAACAAAAACAATTTGTCTTGATCCACTTTCCAAATAATTACTCTCAAACAAAAATTAAAAAAACCATTCTAAATAATAAAAACATACCGAAGAAAAAAATGAAGGTGATGATAGCACTTGATGAAAGTAAAGGGAGTTTTTACGCTCTAAACTGGGTGTTATCCAATGTTTTGAAGCCTGTTATTTCAACTGAAAATGAAGAAAGGGAGAATTTGGTGTACTTGGTTCATGTCAACCTTCCTTTCCAAACTTATGTCTATCCTGCCGGACCTGGTTTGTTCTCTTCTATCTTTTTTCTGGTTTTTTTTTTACAGCTCATAATCATAATGGTAGAAGAGAAGAATTGAGGCTATTTTAAGATTGTTTATTTCAAGTATTTGTTTTTATATATATATATATAAAATATAAAAAAAAAAAAGATTTAGTACTCGTATGTTTTCATGATATCAAGCTCCTTACAAATTTTATTTATTTATTTTTTTTAAAAAAAAAACCTCCTTAAAACGCTAGAAGGAGGGGTCGAACCTCCGACCTTGTGGTTAACAGCCACACGCTCTAACCAACTGAGCTATTCCAGCTTTTAATGTTATATTATTTGTAATTGCTTATTTATTCTTATTTTTGTACTTACAATACGGAGTAAATAAATAGTTTGCAAGTAAAGCATGCGGAGTATTTCGCAAATTTGGCTCATTGGCTGTTCTTTCAATGAGTGGTAGTCCATTTTAATTAAATTGTGCAATTATTTCTAAATTGAGCATTAAATTAAATATCTATAAATTGAATATTGTGTCATTGTGTGTGACAATGTATAAGCAATTGCTTATACGACAATTTCTGTCTAAGAATCTGTTAAAGTTCATTTTAATTAAATAAATGGTGCAATTTTGTCAAAATAAATAAATAAATGGTGTAACTACTTCTAAACAGAGTACTCTGTATCAAATATCTAAAAATTGTGTATTGTGTGTGAATTTGTATATGCAGTTGTTTATACGACAACTTCGGTCTTAGAATCTGTTAAGCACGCACAAGAGCAAATATCGGCAGGTATATTCGCTCGCGCTATGAAAAGCTGTAAGGATTTGAAGGTGAGTACAAAATTAATTAAGGAGAATGTGCTCTTAGCTTAATGCAGTATTATCAATGATAACACTTACTTGATGAATTAGTTATGGATTGACAATGTTGAAAATAGATTAAAGCAGAAGCATTGACTATGCGTGGTGAACCAAAGGAAGTACTTTGTCAAGTTGCTGAGCAGAAGCAAGTTGACCTGTTGGTTGTAGGTAGTCGCGGTCTTGGCGTGCTGAAAAGGTGAATATATTAACTCTACTTTACTCCGTATAAGCTAAATGTTACTCCTCGTCCTTATTTGTTTGCTCCATTGTTAATATTTGGGTCAAATTTTGATAACTTTGACCATTAATTCTCATTAATTTATGAGAGATTATATAATTAAGTGGAAATGTGGAATCTTGTTGGATTCATCTCCATGTATATTTTATTATCTATTTTTTTTTTTAATTTTCATGGTTATAAAAATAAAGATACATTTGTTTGAAGACGCTTTTTGGAGACCGTGATAAGTCAAATGAGGCGAAAAATAAGGGACAGAGGGAGGACTTATTGTCGCGGCTTTTTGTTGGCAAACATTAGATCTAGGGTGATGCTCCAGAACTTGGGTTAAATACTGGACACGCCATTGCCGTGTGTAGTTCTCTCCATGTATTAATTTGGTTATGATAGATTGATAAGCTTTATGGATAATATTTAGGTGATAACACATGTTTGGGTCCAATTTAGTCCAATTGGGCCTGGTCACTGAATGATCCAATTAAAAGCCCAAGGTTAAGGTTCAACTCTCCAAATGTGCTAAAGTCAAAAATCAACATCCTCAAAGCCATGTCAAGGTCAGTCAACGGCCCAATCAGCTTGGCCCAGCCCAACTGACTTCCGGGCCCAATCCGCCTCCTTCATTAGCCAAGGTATAAAAGCCAACAATTTGGTCAATTCTTGGTAAGACAATAAAGCCTCAAGCAACTAAACTCTTGCACAGCTTTCTCTCTCTAATATACTGACTTAAGCATCGGAGGGGCCTTCCTCGGCGTCCCCCCCGAGGCTAGTTTACGTGTATTTGTTGTGCAGGAAACCCTCGGCTCCTGCGTCGTTCGGACCGAGACCAAGTTCCCTCAAGATAAAAGGATCTTCCGAGATTCGATTGTTTTCATCCGAAACAATTTGGCGCCGTCTGTGGGGAACGCTACTAAATTTCGCGTCAGTCATCAAACACTCCGGCAGTCGCCATGACTAAGAGTGGAAAGAGTTCCAAGAAGGCTAAGAAGGGAGGAGGCCGGATTACGGTGAGGGAACGCCAGCCGGTTTATCCCTCCCCGGAGCAAGCCTCTTCCGAATCGGAGGCCCCCATTTCTCCGGAAAGGGAAGCCTCAAGAGGTCCTAGCCTCCAGGAGGAGAACACCTCGCACCACACTCGGCAGCCGGGGCCATCCCCGAGACCGAGTGGCTCAGGTGCGAGGAACTCCCCGCCACGCCATAGCGTGCAATCCAGGTCACATCCGCGGGAGACTCCTCCCTCCGGACCCTCCACCGAGGAAGTGGCCAGAGCAGTGGCCATCTGCATGGAGTTCCTTAAAGCTCAAGGGGCTCCAATCCAGATGCCTGATGATCACCAGCCGAGAAACCTGAAAAGGAGGATCGGTCAGGATGATGGTGGACAAGTTCCACCACATAGAGAGCTCGGCCAGAGGTGGCGAGGGGACACCCGAAACTCCAGTAAGGAGAGGAGGAGGAACCCTCAACCCTCTGACCACTCCGAAGCTCAGAATTCCATGGGGCCCTCCAAGGACCCGGAATTCGCCCGCCAAAGCGTTCACGAACGCTTGGGTTCGAGGGAGGTGAGTGTGCATAGCCGCCTCACCTTCCCAGAGGATACCGGACCCCACCCAACCTTGTCTCAGCCGGGGACGAAAACCACTTCCACCTCTGAGAGAGGAGGGAGCGAGGTCCCTGAGGCCGGGTACAAGGGGAAGGCGGTCATGGTTCCATCGAACTCGCCCTTCCAGAAGTGGATTCTGGAAGAGCATGTGCCAACGGTCAAAATCCCGGCACATATTACTTACGATGGTACCTCAGATCCTAAGGATCACATTGCCTCTTACGAGGGGCACATGTATCTGAACCCGAGGTCTGAGGCTACCTGGTGTAAATACTTTCCTACGACCCTCAAAGGTGTTGCCCAATCCTGGATCACCAAAGGGCTCAAGGAAGGCTCCATAACCGGTTGGAACGACCTCTCCAACAAGTTCAAGAGCAAATTCTCTACGGCCAACCGCCGAGAGAAGACCACTGCAGAGCTAATGAGTCTGCAGCAGGCGGAGGACGAGAGCCTCCGCGACTATCTGACTCGCTTCAGCAACGAGTCATCCGGAATCACAAGCCTGGATCAAGGCCTGGCCGTGTTCGCGCTACGGAACGGCCTCCAAGCTGGAAAGTTCCTGGACTTCATGGTCATGCATCCCCCGCAGACCCTGGAGGAAGCCTTGGAAGCATCGGATAGGTTCATCCGAGCCGAGGAGTGGAACAGATCCAGGTCTCAGTCTCGTCCGAGAATTGACAAGCCGAAAGGGCAGCAGCCCGAAGTCTCGGCGCAGAGGAAAGGGAAGGCTAAGGCCTCAGAACCGTCCTCTGCTGCCGAGCCGAAGAAGGAAAGACACTTTCCCTACACGGGAAGGTACGATTCATACACTCCACTCTCCCTTCCCCGTGCTAAGATTTTCAGCACGACGAAGGACGAGGGGAGATTCAAAAAACCTCGTCCGTTGCCTCCCTGGCATCAGACGAGGGGAAAGGACCAGTGGTGCGAGTTCCATGACTCACCCGGACATCGCACCGAGGACTGCGTCCAGCTGAAGGACCAGATTGAGGATCTGGTCCGCAAGGGGTACCTGAGCCAATACCTCGCGGACAGGCGCGAGGAGAAAAAAGCTGAAAAAGATTCTCGGCAGGACCTCAACTTCGCTCGGAAGAAGGATAAGGGACCTCAGGGCAAGGAGTCCCTCGACATCCTAGTTATTTCCGGGGGAATCTCGCGAGGCACAGCCAAACGCCAACTGAGGGGTCTAACCCATCAGATTCATCTGGCTGAGCTTCGGCAGTCCCAGTCACCGGCGCCGAACATCCTGTTCACAGCCGAAGACTGTGAGGGGGTGGTATACCCCCACGATGACCCACTAGTAATCATTCTGGGCATCGCCAACCGCAACGTCTGGCGGACCCTCGTCGACGGCGGTAGCGGGGCGAACATCCTCTTCCGAGGAGCGTTCGACCAGCTGAGGATGGGAGCCGAGCACCTGGCCCCCGCACCCTACCCGGTGTCTGGATTCAACGGCTCTTCCTCGTATCCTGACGGGAAGATTACACTTCCTGTCACCATCGGCGAAGGCCGAGCAGCTAGGAATATCATGGCCGAATTTTTGGTCGTAGATGCTCCATCTGCATACAACGTGATCATGGGGAGACCCCTCATTCACGGCATTCAAGGAGTCGTCTCCACGTATCATCAAATCATGATATACGTTTCAGACGAGGGACGCTCCGAGAAAATAAAGGGCAGTCAAAAAGAAGCCCGCCGATGCAATCACCTCAAGCCATCCACGTCTCGCCGAGGCGACCGTGGCGATGGGGAGGAAAAGCACCGGGACCGAAACGCCAAAAAGCCGAGAGGCTCAGACGTTTCGGCTAATGAAGCCCCAGACAACGAGAAATCTGATGGGGGCCAAAAGGCTGACTCCGCCTCAGAGCCGAACGACTCTGATGGCCAGCCGCGGTCAGGAAAGTCTGCTAATATTGATAGCAGGCCGGAATTCGAGGAATCCAACTCTAAGAGCATGGAGACGGATGACCTGACCGAGTCAATAGAACTGACCGTAGGAGATCCGAACAGATGTGTTAGCATCGGGTCGTCACTGGAGCCAAACACCCGTGCGGCACTCGTCCAACTCCTACGGGCCAGTGGAGACGTGTTCGCCTTCTCAGCCGCAGAAATGCCCGGGATTGATCCGGACTTCGTCTCCCATAGGCTTAATGTCGACCCCTCCAGTCGACCCATTAAGCAGAAAAAGCGGAACTACTCCGCCGAAAAGAACCAGAACATCGCAGCTGAGGTCGATAAGCTCCTAGATGCTGGGTTCATTGAACCCTGTCAGTATCCGGAGTGGCTGGCCAATGTTGTAATGGTTCAGAAGGCAAATGGTAACTGGAGGATGTGCGTTGACTTCACGGACCTGAATAGGGCATGTCCCAAGGACTCCTATCCGCTGCGAGGATCGACCAACTGGTCGACTCGACAAGCGGGCATGCTCTGCTCAGTTTCATGGACGCATTCTCGGGATACCATCAGATCTTCATGCACCCCGAGGACCGAGCTAAAACAGCGTTCATAACAAGTTCCGGGTTGTACAATTACAGAATGATGCCCTTCGGATTGAAAAATGCGGGGGCAACATATCAGAGGTTGGTTGATCAGGTTTTCGCCGAGCAAAAAGGCCGAAACATGGAGGTTTATGTTGACGACTCAATCGTCAAAAGCATAAAAGAAAAAGATCATGTCACGGACCTAGCCGAAACCTTCGCCACCCTCAGAAAATACAAAATGAAGCTGAATCCGAAGAAATGTGTCTTCGGCGTGAAGTCAGGCAAGTTCCTCGGCTTCATGGTCAGCAAGAGGGGGATTGATGCAAACCCCGCCAAAGTACAAGCTGCTTTAGACCTCCCCGAGCCGAAGACAAAAAGGGATATTCAGCGTCTAGCCGGGAGAATGGCTGCCTTGTCCAGGTTCATCTCACGAGCCTCAGACAAAGGGCTCCCTTTCTTCAAGGCGCTGAAGCTCCAAAATTCAAAAGGCATTGAATGGGGAGACGAACAAAAGTCAGCCTTTCAGCAGCTCCGTGAACACCTGGCTCAACTCCCAACACTGGCAAGGCCAGTCGTAGGAGACATCCTATACTTATACGTGGCGGTCAGTCCAGCCACGGTAAGCGCGGTGCTGCTAAGGGAAGAAGAAAAAGTTCAACAGCCGATCTATTTCGTCAGCCACACCCTGACGGATGCCGAGACGCGCTACCCATTGTTAGAAAAAGTGGCTTATGCAGTGGTGGTGGCTGCTCGGAAGTTGCGACCCTATTTTGATTCTCATCAAATAGCGGTTCTAACTGATCAGCCGTTAGAGAAAGTCCTCGGCAAGGTTGAAAAATCCGGTAGACTAGCAAAGTGGGCTTTCGAGCTCACCGAGTTCAGTA